AATAAGGCTGGTTTGTGAAGCTGTGCGGCAAATTAATTTGACACTGTGTGAAAATTCTGGAGCTGTTGGTTACAATTTCCTTAGTGATTTTCTGGTGTGTGTGCAGGTAGCTATGGTTGGTCCAAACAGAACTTCGCCATCTATGAGGCTTATCACACTCGAGGTGGCAGAAATAATCATTTTTACTAGTGTAACTAGTACTGACAGATTCCACTTTTCCAATATACTAAAGTACATCCTAAAGCAAAGACCCTTTGCCTTACAAGCTGGTCAAGATCCACTGTTGTTAACATGTGTTTGTTTTTTCACAGTGAAGAGCCTGTGAAATAAATAGGTGTGGGTGTTTGTGAGGCACTTCATGGTTCAGTGCTTCTGTGCAAACAAAACTCTGCTTGCCAGGTCAGTGTAACTGCTATGATTATTCCAAGGAGAAATACACTGGCATGCCCATGATGTTCATAAGCCCCAGCAGCCTCACTGTTGCTGCCATGCTACTGCTGGGGCACAGCCTGCAGGAAGCCCATGGATCCTGTGGCTTGCCTGGGTCCCTCCACGTGGACATGCAGTTCTACCTGGATATGATTTTCTGGGAGCACAGGTACCTTAGTGCATGGTCGTCAGGTGAGGTGAAGGATTTCTCACTTTGATGGTTACTGTGATATGCTGTCAGAGAGATGGCATGTGCCATGGAGGGGTTAAACAAAGCAAAGTGGTGCTTCTCTTATCACCTGGAGGCCTATTACACAGCAGTGTCACTGCTCCTATATTGCTAACCTGTCCTTAAAGAAATAAAACAGCAACAGTAAATGAAATGTGGATTAGCTGGTGATCCTGAATACATTTGTGGAATAGGAAATTCTGCTTCAGTTTGATCCCTTATAGCAGCATCAAGCTGGGTTCAGTTTGTGCACTTATGGGTTGGGAGATGTTTTCAACCACAAGAAGAAAACAATGCAAAACTTTCATGCTTTTTGAATCGTCAAACTTCTAAACCTTTGCATCATATAAACCTGACATAGCCTTTATGTTGTAACATTGGCTCTTCCCTGTTGCTGTTGCAGACCTCTTAAAATTAGTCCCTATGACCAGTCTGAGGGCTATCTTTGCTAGTCAAGTGATGTGGATGAGAAGGCTGGATCCACGGATTGTTTCACGAGTGATAGTTTGGACCAGTTTGTCTTGTGTTACAGTTTGTCTGCTACCAGAGCAATACAGTTAAAGGTTTGAATTTTAGCATTTGTAGCAAACCCTTTTAATTATGATACTAAGAGTGTACCAGAACTTACTGCTGTCCCAGCCACTAAATGTTTCTCATAGCAACACATTGATCTTCATCCTTAAGAACTAAAAAGGCACAGGTCTGATGACCATCTACTGCAAATTCTACTAGCCAACAACATAAGCTTAGGGGAGGCCGGAAGAAAAGAGCGAACATCTACTGCTAATATTCCTCTGTTTCCCTCATTTCCAGTGCCTTGTGATATCTTAAGAAGCAGCAGCAGCTCTGTACTCTGTAGCTGTCAGTGAATTCTTCTGACATGAATTTGCCAAGGTGCTTTTAAACTCGGGTTAAAATCTTGGCATTTATGGCTTCCTGGATCAAGGAGTTGCACAGCTTAATGCATGATGACAAAATGCTAAGCTAGTCTACTTGGCATCAGATAATTCTTGTCATTTAGACCCGGCAGCATTAAATCTCAGTGATCTAAACAAACTGATTTGAGGATAGTTTTTCATCATAATTGTGGTGGAATTTCTACAAGCCTTCCAGATGTTTTTCAGTGATGACAGAGGGGTATTCAAATGAATATAAATTGTACATGGGAGATGAAAGTAAATTGTATATAGGAGAGGGAATAATGTCTTACAATGCAGTAAAAATGCAGTTTGGGATATTGCTTTGAGTTGTATGTAACTCCTGAAGTATCTGCAGTGATTTGGATAAATCAGTTGGGTCTCAGCCCCCCTCCCTGACTGCCTGTTCTGTAGTTTTCTAGTACAGTGAGCTGTACATGCTATCCTTAAATATAGTCATATATAATGCTTTAAAAAGCTTTAAGCTTAGCTGCTTCTTCCCCACAACTGAAAATAAGCCAACCTATGAATACATCAGTAATCGCAATGCTGTTTCTGAAAATCTTCAGTGGGCAGGGTCCAGACCTTTGTCCCCTCCCCTGATGCTCTACAGAGCAGTAGTGATGAAGAAGCTGATAACCAGGAGCTCTCCCAGTGCAGCAACAGTTCCCAGAGAGCATGTTGAACAGAAGACTTGTAGGTGCCATGATGGAGAGATTGAAGGCGCTTAGGACCCTTATGTGTGACTTAGAAGTGCTTGGTTACATCAGGAATGAAACTACCCATATTGCACAGGAATGTTGCACAGAACTTATGCACAGAGGATTTCTGCATTTTTCTATGGCAAAGCTGGTTTGATTCTTGTATGATGTAACGATACATTCAACAACTCTAACACCGTGCCTAGAATTTGAGATAGATACACTCTTGTCATACAGCTGGGAATGAGACAGAGTACAATCATAAACCGTTGTAGTAACTGTTACCCTTGATGTTAAAAAAATGGAGAAAAAAGACCTGTCATTTTTCACCTGAATTTCTGCAAATGTTTTTGATATGGACCTGATCAAAGCTCGTTAGACTCTCCAGAATAAGCAAAAGATTTGCATTATAAAGCGTTTTGAGCTGTGACAGGCACCTAGATATCCCATTGCTGCCCCATCTGACATCTACTATGCTGCAGACTGCTCTCACCTGGCAAAACTGTGAGCAGTTTCTCTCCCAGGAACCCTCTAGGCACAATCCCTTGCTTGCAGCAATTTCTACCATCCCTTAAAACACAGGGAAGATACAAAGGAGGGGGTGGGAGGGAAGCACCAAACATTCTGGTAACACATTAGTACGAAAGATTTTCGGAATCACGGAAAGATTTAGCTTGGAAGAGGTATCATCTGGAGTGCAGGCTCCTGCTCAAAGCAGGGCTAACGTCAAACTTAGGTCGATCAGGATGTTGTGCACTCTCAAGGATGGATGTTCTGCACTCTGAGTTGCCTGTTCCAGAGATTCATCCATTTCATGGCAACGAATTTTTAATTCCTAATGGAATGTCTTTGCTGAAACTTGTGACTATTACAAGAAGCTGTGCCTATTTGGCTGGTGATGAAGTATTTCACAGCAGCAAGAAGAAATCTTGGTCTCTGTATTGTTCTGTATTGGTTCAGAGATAAGCATTCCCATGGATCTAAAGTAAACTGAGGGCTCTGAGGTAAAACCCCCCACTCTGTAATGACTGTCAGGAGATGGGAGGCACATCAGCATCAGAATACAGAAACTGACTCTTCTTATGGTTAAAGTTGAGCAACATAACATGTAACAACAGAATGATAGGATATGTTTAGGTTGGACATTAGGAAAAACTTCACCGAAAGAGTTGTCAAGCATTGGAAGAGGCTGCCCAGGGAAGTAATACAGTCATCCTCCCTGGAGGAATTTAAAAGATGTGGAGATGTGGCACTTAGGGGCACGGTTTAGGGCAGTGTTAGGTTTACAGCTGGACTCAATCTCAAAAGGTCTTTTCCAGCCTAAATGAATCTGTGTTTCTACAACATCAAAGTTGAACAGTGCTTAAATGAAGAGCAACTGTTGTGAGCTTAGCTTGGCATTTGCTGTGCTTTTTTCTTGTTCTAACGGAATTCTGCCTTGCTCAGTATCTGCTTCACTGATGGGGAGTGATGGCAAGTGCCATGCACGAAATCTGCACAGGACTTTAAACAGGACAGTGAATGCATGGAGGAACTCACGGACGCTAAGAATTCAGTAACGGGGCAAGAGCAGCGGGTGTTTCACCACAAAGCTAGTGAGACTGTGGGAGAAGTGAAGACGTGTCTGCCTGTAGAAGCTCCAGCCCAGGGATGCTGGGCAGCTGGAGCGGCTGAAGCGCTGGGCAGAGGGATGCCTGCACCCACAGCCAGGGGGACTCGCACCCTCCCTGGCTCCTTCCCGGTGTTCCCTGGCTGTCACCTCCACCAGGAAGGGGATGAGAAACCTCGCTAGCTGCCCGGGAGAGGGCACTGCTGCCCTGCTTTTGGGATAATCCGAACCCTTTCCACGTTTTCTAATGGCGAGAAAAAGCCATTTCAGGCCTGCCTAGCCAAAGGCATCACAGTACGTCCGGGAAGACCCCGTGTGATTAGAGACCCGGCTTCTGTAATTAGAGACCCTGCTCGGGTGATTGAAGACTCGGGTTGGGTAATTAGAGACCCCCGTGTGATTAGAGACCCTGTTTGGGTGATTATGCTGCATCCTAACTGTGATAGGAGCCGCTGCTGCCCTATGTGGTTTAAATCATCAACTCTAGTATTCAAAGCTTGCCATCTGTATAGAGCACCCTGCAGAATTAAGATTTTCAAAGGTAATAGCCTGCATCTGTTTCTAAAAAGGCACAAGCAGCAACTAAAATGTCCAGCTCAAGAAGGCAGAGAGACCATAGAGCCCCAGTACAGAAATATCCGAATCAAATGCTTGAAGAGGCACAATTTAGAAAACAAATTTATTTTTTTTATTTAAATGACTGAAGTGAAAATAAACCATTTAACAACTGTGTGTAAAGTAATTCATGTGGTGGCACTTCAGTCTGAGGTACACTGCAGAGCTGATGTAGTGTTTCTGTAGTATTATCCATCATACACCAAAGGACAGCCTTTTCATTAGCAAAATGTATGTTCATCTTAAAAAGGCAGGAAATTTTCATTTGATGAAATCTGTAAGACTGCTGAAGTGAGGCAATTTATTGCACAATATAGGTGCTCTGTACAGCCAGTAAGAACTAGCTGCTTTGCATAAAAGAATTCCCACAGGAAATGTAATGAGCATAACAAAGTATGCTGGAAACAAAGAGTATAGTTAAGGAAGAAGACAAGAAGTGTAAAAAAGAAAACAGCAAACTGGTTTTGTCCCCTTTTTCCTAAAAATAATTTGAAATCTGATACAAATGCAGAAAAATACATTCATAAAAATCTCCGTACAAATTTTAAGAAGTATACATAGCCTTGGAAGCACTGAAACATGACAAAAGAGGGAACAAATGTAATCTTCGGACATACTGATGCCATCTGAAGTCTGTTTACATATTCTCTGCATTTCTATCTACTTTTGTAAGTCCAAAGCAGCAATCGCAAAGTATTAAGACCAAATCTACCACATTTAGGGCTCAAAAGCAAGTGGTACTTCACAACTGTAATGAAACCTTACTGAGATACACCAACTGGGCAACCAGCCTAGTGTGGATATGGTCTCATACAAGCGTACTTTCTTTGGTTATATTCCTAATCTAAAACTAACTCTCCTCCACATTCCCCAAGCTATCTGGAAGAGCTCATATTAAAGACTTCCTTGTTTCCCCGTAACAAAACCAAGTGGGAATGTTTTATTAACATCTAAAGGAAGTTGGTATTGATTCTTGGTCTGTAGCTAAAGGAGATTTCTCGGTTATTATTGATGTTCTTCATTGTTTCTCAGTAAAGCATCTCAGTAAATATTTATAGCTGCTGAGATTCCCCAGAAGAACGCTTCTGTACTCTATGTTCAGGCAGCTCATATAAATGCTTTTTCTACCTGTTGTCTCTCTTTTTTAGCATCTTGGAGTTTTTCCTTGGTTCAGGCTCACTTTCATGTGGACTCTGTAACCTCTCTCTGAAAGAAATACAGAAGAAAAATAAGACTGTAGACAGAGGTTTTAAAATGCTGTAATTCTCTCTCGAATTAAATTAATTTTGATAAGAGAAGCAAGGTGTTTCTTATATAACTTCTGCAGTCAGTTTTCAGCTGCCTCTGCTGAGGCTGCCAAAACAAAGATGCATAAATGTTCCTTTGTTGGGTCCCTGTTCCCTACACACGTATCCCTTTTTGGCTGTGGGAAAGGAGTGTGTGAAAAGGGTTGATGCCATCAGGGAAAGGAGCCATCTCCTGAAGTCAGTCGCAGGCTGAGGTCACTCAGGGGATAAATACTTTTCCCCAAAGGCCTGTGGCTCCTGAGAACCAACTGTTTGCTTTGCCTGTCAACAGGATTTTCTCTGCTCAATATATCAAGCCCCAGCGACCAGCTGGCTGGTTTGATCTGCCCGTAATAATCAGCTGGCATCTTTCAGGTTTGTAGCCGTTTCTTCTCCTCTAGTTAGCACCCCAGCATAAGCCAACTGAAACATCTATCAAGAAAATCATTGTTAGAGCTGCTACCCTCATCAGCCAAAGACTGGCACTTGCCTTTGTTCCTGAAATAAAGGTGGAAGTTGAAAGCCTAAATACCACAGACCATATTTTGGTTGCTACATGTCAGCCTAGTTCCACTGGATTCACTTGTCTCTGATGATGTATGTTGTCTGTGACTCGGGTTTTAAAAAACCTAATTAAAGGAAATTTGGAAACGGTATTTCTCATTTCTTTACCTAAAATCAAAGTTATTTATAGAATACACAGCAGCACAGACAAGCAAACTCAGACGGTTTTCCTAAATTTAGAAAAGAATATTGGGGAAAAAAGGTCAAGTACATGGGAGAAGTAACCACTAAAGAAGCAGCTCAGCTAGTGCAGGCATTATATTTTGGGTTTGCCTGACATACATTCCTGCTTATGAAGCAGATTTTGTACTGCTGTTTTTTTTTTCACATACCGTATTTTTAGCCTCTACTGTACCTGAATAAGCCAGAAGTCAGTCCAGGGGGCTCTTGGATATTTTCATGAGAATCATCTTTTTCTGCTGATTGTGGTGACTGAAAGGTCTTTCTTTTTGTTTTTTCCCCTGAATTACCAAATATACATGGATTTAAACAAACAAACAAAAAAGAATTTATATAGTAGAGCTTGTTTGGTTTTGATTAACCTAAAGCAAAAAAAAAATATATGCTAACACTTCATACAGACATGTTATCATTCCACTTTGCATTAGCCTAGCACATTGGATTTTTACCATTGGTTAGTTCTCACGGGTCAGACCTTGAACTTTCATACTTGCTGAACACTGCATTTCCATGAGGTACAACAGTTGAAAGCTCTACCATGTATTTTCTTAGTAAGTAGTTGCAAATGGCTTTTTACTACCAGCAAACAGATAAAAAGCCAATTCATTATTTTATTTGAATCAGAACAATCTGATGTTAAAAAGTCACTGTTTTTAGGGCCCTGAGCTAAGTTTCCCCGTATCCTGGTGCCTACCAGGGCAAACAGCTCTGCACACCTGAGGAACAACCGACTGGGGAGAAAGCCGCTTTTCCCTTTCTAGCACCCACCTCACCTTTAAGCATCTTTCAAATGTAATGCCAAATGTTTCATTCTGATAATGACAGGAGGACTGCATGACTCAAAGGATGAGAATTTGTGTGCTCCACCCCAAATGTGGACCAGGAAACACAACCGCTATGCTGACAATTTGTTTCTAAGTATCTCTTGAACAATGAATTAGTCTAAATTGTTAAAACTGCAGTGAACTCATATAAATACTTCAAGTTTCCTGATTCAATAAGATTTTACTTTTGAGTATGTGTGTGGGAAGGTGATTCTTCCATTCTACCAGAAGGATGACTCTGGTGAGTTATCCCTCTGGTGGAAAATTCTGCGTGATTAAGCTCTGCTGTCCACCAAAAGACTGTTGTTGAGGTGAACAGAGCTGTTTCTAAAGAACATTATACAGACATAAAAAGTAATTTTGGTTTGAGTAAGGTAAAACCTTATCTCAGTGAACACAAAGTGACTGACTGGTTACAGGAGTAAGGAATGGTGATGCTTATTTGTGGCTGTGCTACTAGCAAGCTGGGTGACCTTGGAGGGCTGGCTTACTTTTCTACACCTGGATTAGGGAACTGGCACTGACAAAAGATCTTTCCTGAAACTCCATTGTGTTTTATTGCAAAATACACACTAACATGTGGAATGATGTGGGGTTTTTTTTTAAACAATTCAGGATTGTACCAACCTACTGCCTTGCTCCTTTTGTAAGGCTTCTTCTTCACAGCCACTGGAACTCGGGCCAGCACAGCCAACTCCCTCACAAAGTCCTGCTCTGCTTCCTGCACACAAGGATAAACCAGAAGTCATTTAACACAACACAGCTTGATTCTGGGTTATGTTATTCTACATGTGGCATGTTAAAAAAAGGCACATGTCATTGCAGAAACACAGGAAACAATATGGCTACCATCAGGGAAGCATTTCCTAAAAGACAGTGGTGAATCTTAGCTCTGATTTCAACTAGGACAGCAAAGAGATCCTTACAACCCCTCTAATGCTTTGCCATGGACGGCTTCAGATCCATAAGTCATTTTACCCTGATTTACCTTTAGCTGATTCTCCAACTCAGTTTCTAGGTGATGCAATCCCAGCAGCTTCTGTCTCAGAGACTCCAGACGAATTTGCTGCTGCAGTTCGAATTGAGCCAAAACCTTCTTTTGCTGTAGCACCATCCTGGTCAAGAGAAATTGAAAAGTACTGATGTTCAGTTCAAATGAGGAATACAGTCCTGGCAAAGTGTATTTAGAAGCTTTTGTAGAGAGAAAGGCTCTTTAACAGTATCAGTCCATCCAGCTTCTGCTTGGACAAAAAGTTCTGCGCTAGATTTTTAGACAGATTTCACTTATTTTAATGACCCGTCTCTCCATAAAATAGAAGCTCCTTTCAGAGGTAGGAACTGAAGCAGGAATTTGGGCTGTCCATTCCTGGACTTTGGGAGCTGAAGTTCACCTCTAATGGTTTTAAAGTCTGCTTTTGAAACTACTGTATGTTTCTAAAGCCAGCTTTACTGTCTGCTTGCCAAAGAGACAAGCTGTTAGAAGATCAGGTGTGAGGATAAGGGATTAAGAATTAGGCATTTCATCTGGGGCTTTTCAGCACCAGATTGAGAATGAGCCAGAAACGTGGTAATTCAAAATTTGGCAATTGAGAACATTAACAGCTATATTCTTTGCTTGTTTTACTTTGCTGGTTAAAGATTAATAACAGTAGAGCCTGAATAGCTGCAACTTCGCTGAACCTGTATTTCTTCTGTTCTCTTGCCTGATCTACCTTGAAGCAATGCTGTCAATCACCCATCACATTCCTCAGGGAAGGAGATAACACAAACGGTTTCTGACATGTACGCATACTGCAGTTGCTATTGTACTGGCCAATGCTCAGAGAAGGTTAGCTTGCAAAATCTGTTTTTTGAGCTCACACTCATAACCCTGCACCAAGAGCAAAAGGAAATAAAACAATGCTGAGTTTAACAAAAGTTAGACAAATTAATGGAAATTTTGTCATTAATTTACACAGGATTGGGATTTGACTGTATGTAAAAGAAATCATAATGACAACAGGAAGATGGGTTTGCTGTTACTTATGGTTATGAGGCCAGCTTAGATACTGAATAGTTACATTCTTCAATACCATACCTCTGCTTGCATGAAGGCAAATTTGATTGTATTTTAAGACACTAGAATGGATTATGGCAGAAAAAACCCGAGACAACCGCTGAAGGTGAATTTCTATGTCAGAATAAATGATAAATTTTATAATGGATAATTAACAGGTCTTTTATAAAGCCCTTTATTACATGAATCCATCTCTATACCAATTCAAACAAGGATGAAAAACAGAAAGTGGTCAATGATTTATTTCAATTTAGAAGTAACAGAATGTCTAAAAAAAGAATTAACCTCTTTACAATGTCAAAACTGCAGTTGGTGTTTTGTTTTGTGTAAGAAACCAAGAGTAAATAAATAAAATTATTACAAAAATATATCATGTGCACACCATGTCATGCAGCTCTTTATGACAACTTACTCCTTTGGAATGGCACTGCTTTTTGTCTGGATTCTATGTTTCATAAAATCAGTAATGAATTAAATGTGATTTTTATTTAATTAACATTTGAGGGATTTTTCTCTAAATTTAGTGCAAGTAATCTTGATTGTCCAAGGCATTTACTGAACTCTTACTTGCCATTTGAAGTATTATTTATGCTTCAAACATTTTCTCTTCATTATGGTGTATGTTTACTCAACAGCAAACTAACAAACACTTTTGATGTTCAAAGCAGAAAGGATGGATCGCAATGAATTAGACAGCATTGGTTCCCATCTTCCATTTATGTTACATTTCTTTTAAAATTTGGCATGTGTTTTGGCACTGGTTTTCATTCTCTCTTTTCAAACTGTCTATGTATAGTTCTTCAGTCTGTAATTAATGAGCATCAAAAAGTTTATTTAATAAGAAAGTAATTCTCAAGATCAAAGGGCAGACACAATTTGGCAACAGATATTTGTTTTCCATCAAAGACAAATATAAAATGCAAACCCAAGACATTTATTCAGCTAGACATTTATGCAGATCTGCAAACACTCACATTTAAATAGTCAGCAGTGCTGCTGCCTGCTCTTACCTTTGATGGACTGCGGATGATACACTCAAGAGGCCTTTGGTCTGCTTTTCTTTCAATGCCAGTTCACTTTCTTGTTTCTTCTTAAGTCTGTTCCTTTCACTTCTTTCTACTGAAATAATGTTTTTGTAAATCTTCTGCTCAAAATTACAAACTCTGACTTGTAGCAAACTTACAATTTACATTTTGCATCAGCACAAACTAATCCCTGTTCTAGGTAGTCTTTCAAAGTTACTGCTCCTTAGAGATATTGAGCACTTTTTACACACTCTTGCTCTGCCACTGCAATTTATTGCACAAAGAGTTTGTGCATCATTTACCTGAGATGTCACTGAATTCCTATTATTATCTACTTCTCCTAATAGGTTAACTTATTAACATGGAATTCAAAGCAGAAATTTTATGAGAAGTCCTTGATACCTTAAGCAAGAACTGTGATACCTAAATGAAAAAATGCAATATAAAGAAAACCTCCACTTGGACGTCTCAGTCCTGGGAATGCCTAACTTCACTAGATGGCCCCTCATTTGATGGTAAAGCATTCAGGGTACTTTGTCATATGCTCATACTCTGCAAGTAACTTGGTGCTTATCTGCTGACCAGGTTCTGGAGTCTTGCTCCTGAAGTTCTGCCTGGCAGCAAGGCTTGGAGCACGTCTGTCAAACAGGACCAGTCTCCTTGTACCACTGCTTTTAAATATAACATAGAAGGAGTGGTGTAGATAGGTACATAACAGACTGGGGGTACACAACATTCACTTAAGGAGTATCCGGCCTTTTCCTAACACTCAGAGAGGCTGACCAGGTGTACCTTTCCTACCAAAGGCACCACAAGGGAGCAGTTACTGAACATGGTCTGGGCTGGGTTGGGCTGGCTGGAGGAGGTGAGGTGTTCTCTACCTTTTTTCCTGTGACTGTGCCAGAAAGACCATAAATTCAGATTTACTAGGTCAAAGGCTGCCCAAAGAAGCAAAATCTTCTAGCCTGACATTAAGCACAGTCACTGGCAGAGTGCTCCTTACTCCCACTTAGCTATCACTGAATGAAGTACATTAGAAATTTCCTATGTGGCCATTCCAATCCCAGGCTATCACATCTACTATGTCATTTATGCAGTACAGTGGCTCTATTGCCAACAGTGCTCTTTCCATCTTGTGTTTCAGAGAGAGAAGTTATGAGAGTATTTTGTGAGGAGGGTCACATTCTCAGTGTGGTAGTCCTACTTGGAGATCACCTAACAGATCAGCCCCTTCTAAAGAGGAAGAAACATGGATGTTATACCTCCTGGTTGAGCTTGGATGGAAAGTATTTGACTGGCTGGCAGGATTTACAGTGTCCTGGCTCTCCCCTGGAGCAGAGCTCCAGGCCGTTAAGAATCACAGAGAGAAATTTAAGTGCTTCTGGTGCCAATACAGAGCTGAAATGAGAAAAGGAGTGGAGCTCTACATCACAAATTTGGACTTGGGTTAAAGAAGGACTTAGATGTACTAAAGCATCAAAGTCCTTTATTAGATAGTATTGCTCACTCCTAATGTAGAAAGCACCAACAAAGCTGAAGCAGTTATCTGTTGATACTGAAAATCTCAGCCATGCTACACTATGTACATGTGGGTTTGCAGTATTTTTTCACTGTGCGGTCTGTTTGATCTGTGAATTTCAGCTGGTTTTCTCTCTGGCCACCCAAATCTAAAACACTCTGGCTTTGATTACCAACATAAGTACTTTCATCCTGTAAGCCTGTAGGCTTACACTGAAGCAGCAGAATTTTCTTTTTCTTCAGTTGAAAAGAGAATATGTTCTTCTTACACATGCTATTTTCTTCCTTGTAGTTCATGGAACACCAATACACTGAAATAATAATATATGCACACAAACTATAGGAGAAAAAATAATCTAAATGAGCAATCATCAGAAAGCCAACTGTGGTTCTAGTGACTGGTATTCTAGTCTCACCACCTAACTGAGAGACCAATTGAGAACAATCTTAAAAAAGAATGATGGAGCAGAACACTGGTGTGTAATGACATCTATCTCAGCTCGGATCAGAGAAGCACTCCGGTCAAAGTTTAATTCCTGTTTAAAGGAACTCAAATCAAGGGGATTTTAGACACTGTAGTCAGGGCCAAATAGTTCTTCAGAGGAACTTTGTGAGAACTCAAGTAACTGACTGCCTTGCTAGCTCCCAATGCTAAAATACAGATTGTCATTAATTCCCCGCACAGATTTTGCTTTACCCTAGAACTTCAGCTTCCAATATTAAAGTCTTCAAGATTCACAACAGTGCAGTACAGAACAGATTGGTTCTATCTTACAACCAGTGAGTATACTAGATACCACTGGGGCTCACAAATCCTCCCACCTCATCTCTGGATCTCATCCTTGAGTGGGTACACCTGTTCCTCTTTAAAAACTTTTCTGTGGTTAAAGAATCTTTTCTATTTAAAATTGCTACCCTAGTTTTAGAAAAAAAAAAAACAAACCCAAGATTCTGTGTGTCTCAGATACTCAGCCTCTGAAACTATTGCCGTTTTGCTAACTCGCTAACTTCATTTAACACCAACAGCCTTTATCCTGGGGAAGGGAAAGTGTCCATACAAAAGAAATAAATAATCACAGCTTGCTTTTGTTCTCCTCTCCTAAAGGGATTGAGCAACTAGAAATGATTCCATGAGAAACTGCCTGTATTTATGTCAGATTGAGCAGTTGATGAATCTCTTCAGCAGTTTCACAACAGTCATGATTGACAGCTAAGAAACAATGAAGTATCTCATAGAGTGTTCCAGGATGGACGTGCTTGGCTTTTTGGTGTCTCCTCTAACACAATTCCTCAGCTTGAGAGACAACAACATTTCACTGAGCCAAAAAAAAGGAATAAATATAAGAATCTGCTCCACAAAGCTGAGGGTGATCGCCTCAGAGAAAGCAGACTGTCTGACAATTATGTTTACGGTTTCTAACATGGAAGCAGGGATTGCAAACCAGATCTCCTCCCTTCTAGGGAATGGATCACAGGTGCCTGTCATATACCCTCTCTCTTCCCCCTATGAATATTAGATTGATTAATTTTACTTGCATATATTAACATGAAAGTTGAACAATGTTTATGGTTGACATTAGCTGTACAACCTGACACTTGTACAAGTGTGCTTTCTAAATTCTTCTGCCCTATGTTGAGGTTTAGACCACCAGAAAATCAACTGCTGGTAGTTGTGATGATGGTGGGATCTCTGACCTTGGCTTGCTGAGCCAGAGTTTGTAGTTAAACTATAACCTCCAACGCTTCCTCATTGTTCTCTGTGTGTCTGTATCAAACTTTGAGTAACAGGGTCCCGAATCTATGACTGTATTTCAAGTAATTATTACTAAAACCAATTCTACCGCTACTCTTTCAAAGATGGAAATGGACCTACATATTCATTTTGCTTTGTTGCTTAAATAACAGATTTCTGTTCTTTCTGTAATGGTAAGAACATTAGTTTATCTGTTTAAAAAAACAGAATTATCTTACAGTTCTCAATATCATACATACCTTGTAAGGATTTCAATAGCTGAAGCTTTTTCTCTTCATAGCCTTCTGTGATTTTTCCTAATTCCTGATAGTAGTTTTGCACCAGTCTATCGATATTATTGCTGGTCCCATACACACTTTCTACAGCAGCTTCCACCAGTCTCTCCTGTATTACACAGTACAAGTCACAATTAATTTTCTAAGTCCAAAACTGAAGTGCTCTGGTATGTCTAAAACTGAAGACCCCATCTAATTTTGCATGTGCACATAAAATTGTGTATTTTGTGCTTTGAAAATGTGGCAGACTGAGATGCTGGAAAACAGCTATTTCTATTGATCCATTGAATATTTCAACATGAAAAAGTATAGTAAAATCCTTATAATGTGCCTCACCTCCACCTGGGAAGGGAACATTCTCTATCTGTTCAATCTTTATATCCGACTTTGCCTGTCAACCTGACTGCCAGCAAAGTAAATCAGTATATGTGAAAGTACTACAACTTTCCATTATACAGAAAATCCAAATATTTACTTTGGAACAATTTTATTAACCTATGAAGCAAGGTTTTTTTTTTATTGATTATTTATCTATGAATTAATATTAAGATGTTAATATACAAATACTATTGATTAAACATAGAACCTTCATCAGTAGATAACTATCTCCACTTCTTCCTCATTTTCGTCATTCTCTGTAAATCAAGAACTCTCTCAATTTTTCTTATGTTCCAGGGCTGTTTTGGCTCCTATAGCAAGTGACTAGAAAAAAAATGTACTTCTAAAGTGTTCGTAAATAATTTGCAAGGTTATCTTCAATTTTAACACAGATTATAATGGCCTCCTACTGATACTTTTAGGCATAGGGCAATGCGTAAATGAAACTGCCTTCCATTTTAGTGAAGTAGCACTTGTTTTGTTTGGAAAACTGCTTTTGAACATTTCCTTACCTTGAAGTCCTGTCCATCATTGGAACTCTTTTTTCTAGCTTCCCGTCGGGCATGCTGCAGCAGTGTCTGCCCAATCACCTGCTCCATGTGCTGCTGAAGAAATTGAAGAGCTTCTTGGATTTCTGTGACCAGCTGCTGTTGAAATTCTAAATGGGTTTCCTGTGTTTCTTCCTCAAGCTTCTCCTCCTCTTCCAGAATGTGGGACTCCTGGTAATCAGACAAGAAGATAGCAGCTCTGTTTAAATATGTTGATAAGTTTAGTCACTTTCATTTTAAAAGAAAGTCCTACCTCAATCCAGAATGCTACTGTTTTAATACTTAGAATAAACTCATTTCCAGCAGAAGTTCATCTACGGTAATTTAAGACATTTGTCTTTGCAATGAAACTCTCCTGTACCGATACATACGATTACAGATGCATCCTGTCCCATTAGTGATTTCCAAGTGATGTATTCCCATCTTTGTAAACTGTACTGTTGAATTTCTACTGAAAATATGAACAATCTATGTCAGATATCCTGAGTCCAGTAAGGATGCCTCAATAAAGTGCACAGGAATAAGGCAAGTATACAATTATGCACCTGGAATACTTGTAGTTTGTATGGTCTAGCTGAAAAAAAGTTGGTCTACAGCCCTTATGTGCTTAATAGCACTTGGAAACCATATGCACTCTTGGCATCTACAGCATCCTGTGGTGATGAGTTCTACAGCTTAACTACGTATTACTTAATTTTGAACCTGTCATCTAATAGCTTTGCTCAGTGCTTTCTTCTTTTATTAGTGACAAGAAATTAGAAAGAAGTGAAAAATTCTTCCCTATTCATATATTTTATGCCAGTTTTAAAACCTATGATATTCCAGAAGACACCTCTTTTTTAGGCTGAAGAGTTCCAGTCTCGAGATCTTTGGACCATGCTCGCCACCATTTATTACACTTCTTTTTAAATACATTTTCCCTCTGAACTCTCTTTAGCAGACAATAGTATATACTCCCCAGCTTGATCTGTTCTGTCTTCCTTACCTGTATTAATCTTCCATAGATTGCCTTCTATTGAATTGCTGATGTCCCTCTTATATTAATATTCTCATTTAAGTACCTCTGATTCCCTCTTGGAAATAAGAAATGAAAGTAGAAAAAGAACCTGCTCTGCCCACTTTCATTTGAGGAAATAATGAGGTCCCTACTAATGCTGGGTTACTCTCACATGGCTTTATTTATACCTCAGATATATGTTTTTGCTGGGGTTTGTTTTTTAGACAGTTGGAATGCCATTGAACCATTTCTCTTCTAAAAGACCCAATGTCATGTTATTATGTCCAAGCTAGGATTCTTTAGTGCTGTTTCATGTTTTAAATGAAATCAATAGATTGACATGACACTGTCTACCAGACTAAAACTGGCGCAAGCTAAAATTAAGTTTAGTTCAGACAATATGGTTTATCTAAATTCTCATTGACTGTTTGTACATTAACCTTTTGCTTAACTCCTTACACATTGCTTCTAGTTTTGGAGGTTGTTCATAAAAGGTTTTTTCTCTCTGACTTTTCACAATTCCATGACTATCCCCTACTTCTTTGGCAGCAAGGATCTTCCAGGTGTACTTTTAGGCACTTCCTTGTGAGATGGGTTTTAGACAGGCTTGGAAAGAGTCTGTAATGGAGAGAGGCCAAAGGAACAGTAATACCTGGGGACATTTCATTTTTGTTAGGGAACACGGTGATTGCATCAATTAACATCCCTGTGGGTACTAAGTGAGAGGGAGTAGTGGAAAGCACTTAACAAGAGGAATGCAGTCATATGCATTTGTATTTTGTTATTTTCTATTGTATTTCTATGGAAGGTTAATGACGTTTTGAGATTTTCACACTTAACACCAACTACTTCAATGTAAGTACCAAATATGAAAATGGTAGCAGAGAGGATTTCCTTATTCCTTTGCCAAGTGGAGAACTAGGGTTTATATTACACAAATCAAAATTAGTCAGCACAAAATATTATCTCTCAGCTAATTACACAGTGTCAGCATGGAGCACGAAGCTGCAAGGTGCTGGATGAGTTAAACTCCTACGTACAGCAGCAGTGGTCTGGACAGGGGCTATTACGGACACCTGCTAGGAAGGTCTTCTGAGGCTGAAATCTGAAATTTGGTGTTGTTTTAAGTAAATCTGCAATACAGTAAGTAAATAACTAATAACAATTAATGGATTAACCTTAAAAAACAGATCTGAAACAAGCAGATTTGAAAGCAACCTGTGGAATACCTGAGATTTTGAGACCTGTGAAGTCTCAAAATCCCTTAAACTTTCTCCCACCTCCTTGATCTACAGGAGCCAAATTATTTTGAAGGATGTCAGGGAATGGAGGCTGAGCAACTCATGGGCAGAGAAGAAAAAAAAAAGGAATGAAAAATCATGACAGTATAGAAATATTTGCTAGGTCTGGTGGAGGGAAGAATTTCTTCTGATGCTCAAGGAAGAACTTGTCAATTGTGTATTATGATCCCTAGCAGAGTAAGTATGAGCTTATCTTACCCTGAAGCAGTAACTTGGGTAGAAGTCCTTTATACACATTGGCATGGCTTCTTTCAATAATGTTTTCATATAACATAAACAGCTAAGTAAGCTTACCAAGATACACATACCACATAGCTAATCAATAGATAAAACTATCAGGGAATTTAAAATGTCTGCCCAAATTAAACCAAGCACACTCGGGTACCTCCTATGCCAGTAGTTGGTTCATTTTTGACAGAGAATATTTTCTTTTACATATATATATATATATATAATATTTATATATATAAACAAATATATATATGCCAGGCATCATCGCATAGAAGAACCTCAGATAAAAAACACCCAGACACTGTGCCTACCAGTGCCTTCTGTAACTGCCACTGGTCCTCATCTTGGCAGGGGGAGGATCCCTTCTGAAGGATATGTTGCTGTCTTAGTTCCTGAAGCAAGCTCTTCTTTCTGGACAGTCTCATACGGGCCAGGGATGCCATTCCAACTCTTCGGAGGGTTAGCCTTCTGAGTACTGAACGCAGCAGAAGTTGGTGTTTTTGCAGTATATAGTTAACAGACCTGTAAAAAGGACCATTAAAAATCAACCAGCTAAGCTGCTTGTGATTTGGCACACCTGTGTGGAGCAAAGCCACTGCTTAAATATCACAGGGATTACTATTCACCCTGAATAAGGTCTTCTCATACAAAGCATGCCTTGGAAAGCTGATCAGGTGTAAAGAATGGGTATTGCTGTGATAGACTTCTAGCTCTGTCACACTGAAGTTAAACTAAATAGAAAGAAAATAGATAAATAATGATCTATAATTACATAATAAAAGTTTTTTTAGTAAGATAATTGACATAAGATGAAAAGAATGTAATCAGAACTACAGGAAAGTTATGTCAAGAAAATGAGGATCAGCATATCTTGGATTAACAAGCAGGCACACTCTGAGGATACATCTAAGAGGCTAATGTTAGCTGGCAGGGCAGACATGGCTGAAGTAAGTTTGTGGTGAATTCTAAACAGGAGAGCAAATTTTGAGGCTGGACCAGCTGACTGAAATCTCTGTGTCAACATCATTTGGGATGGCATTGTACCTGATCTAACTTGCATGTATGTGTAAGTTATAAGGCATTGTGAGCTCTCTAGATATATGTTAGGAAACACAGAAGTCAAAGAATGTGAAAAGGTAAGGTTTAACTGAAAAGTAGATCCAAAATAAAGGAATGCAATGGCAGTAACAACAATATTCCAAAGAGACAAGTCTTCAAATGATTTGATCTTTGATAATGCGAAGACCATGGTATATGAAGATATTTGATCTTAATCAAAGCAAGGGGCATAACACAGAATTGTGTTTTCTTCAGAAATACTTCCATCAAAGAGATGTTTTAGCTGTACAAAGATGAGACAAAACTAACAGTTTCCTTGCTGAATACAGATACCAAGAGAGGAGTTATTATCATGCAAAGCAATGGTCAGTGATACTGTAGTAGCAGAAAGCAAAGGTAGAGCTGAATGGTGCTGGATTGAACATTCTATCTTTAGGAATATCCAACTTAAGGAGGATGACCAGCAGGTCGAAGGAGGTGATCCTGCCACTCTAGTCTGCTCTTGTGAGACCTCACCTGGAGTATTGTGTGCAGTTCTGGTGTCCTCAACATAAAAAGGACATGGAACTGTTGGAACAAGTCCAGAGGAGGCCACGAGGATGATCAGGGAACTGGAGCACCTCCTGTATGAAGACAGGCTGAGGAAGTTGGGGCTGTTCAGCCTGGAGAAGAGAAGGCTGCGTGGAGACCTCATAGCAGCTTTTCCAGTATCTGAAGGGGGCCTATAGGGATGCTGGGGAGGGACTCTTCATTAGGGACTGTAGTGACAGGACAAGGGGTAATGGGTTAAAACTTAAACAGGGGAAGTTTAGATTGGATATAAGAAGGAAATTCTTTCCTGTTAGGGTGGTGAGGCACTGGAATGGGTTGCCCAGGGAGGTTGTGAATGCTCCATCCCTGGCAGTGTTCAAGGCCAGGTTGGACGAGGCCTTGGGTGATATGATTTAGTGTGAGGTGTCCCTGCCCACGGCAGGGGGGTTGGAACTAGATGATCTTAAGGTCCTTTCCAACCCTAATGATTCTATGATTCTATGAACTCCAATGTGAAATACAGAGTGCAAAGAGAGGTTGGCTCAAGATGAGAAATCACTCACACAGGAGGAGATAAAGCACACCACTTCACTTTAGAAATCACAAAAGACTATTTTTTCTACTTACCAGAAGTTGTATCTGTATCTGTATCTATTTGTTTTTCATACTCAGACAAAAAACTACAGTAACTGCCTCTCTGCCTGAAGATGCTCACAATCCTCAAAACTGCTTCCCACAATGTAATGTACAGAAGTGTTTTTTTCTTCTGCAAGTAATAGAGGAGCCAATAAGGAGACGTGCCATGCTTGACCTTGTGCTCACCAACAGGGAAGGGCTCGTTGGAAATGTGATGCTCCAGGACAGCCTTGGATGCAGCGATCACAAGATGGTCAAATTTGAGATCCTCAGGACAGTGAGAAGAGCGTGCACAGTGTGAACTTCAAAAGAGCAGATTTTGGCCTCTTCAGGAGCCTGCTTAGTAAGGTTCCATGGGATATAGCCCTAGAGGGCAGGGGGGCCCAAAAATCTTGGTTGATATTCAAGGATCACCTGCTACAAGCTCAAGAGTGTTGCATCCCAACTAGAAGGAAGTGCAGCAGGAGGGCCAGGAGACCTCCTTGGATGGATAAGGAGATGCTGAGGAAAATTCAAATGAAAAAAGAGGCTTATAAAAAGTGGAAGCAAGGACAGGCAGCCTGGGAAGAGTACAGTGATGTTGTCCGGGAAGCTAGGGACCAGGTTAGGAAAGCTAAGGCCCAGTTAGAATTAAAATTGGCTAGGGATGTTAAGGATAACAGGAAGGGATTCTACAGGTACATAGCAAATAAAAGACTAGGGACAACGTAGGCCCCCTCAGGAAGCTCTCGGGAGAGCTGGCTACACAGGATTTGGAGAAGGCTGAGGTTCTGAATGACTTCTTTGCCTCAGTCTTCACTGGCAAAGGCTCTGACCAAACCACCCAAGTCTTGGAAGGCAGACACAGGGACTGTGAGAATGAAGGCCTTGCGCCCACTGTAGGAGAGGATCTGGTTTGAGACCATCTTAAAAATCTGAATGTCCACAGGTCCATGGGTCCTGATGAGATCCATCCACAGGTCCTGAAGGAGCTGGCGAATGAAGTTGCTAAGCTGCTGGCCATCATATTTGAGAAATCATGGCAGTCAGGTGAAGTTCCCGATGACTGGAAAAAGGGAAATATAACCCCCATTTTCAAGAAGGGGAAAATGGATGACCTGGGGAATTACAGACCAGTCAGTCTCACCTCTGTGCCTGGCAAAATCTTGGAGCAGATTCTCCTGGAAGGCATGCTAAGGCACATCAAAATCAACAAGGTGCTTGGTGACAGCCAGCATGGCTTCACTAACAGGAAATCCTGCCTGACCAATCTGGTGGCCTTCTATGATGGGGCTACAGAACTGATGGAAAGGAGTACAGCAGTTGATGTCATCTACCTGGACTTCTGTAAAGCGTTCGACACTGTCCCACATGACATCCTTGTCTCTAAATTGGAGAGACATCAATTTGATGGATGGACCACTCGGTGGATAAAGAACTGGCTGGATGGCTGCACACAAAGAGTTGTGGTCAATGGCTCAATGTCCAGCTGGAGACCAGTAACGAGTGGTGTCCCTCAGGGATTGGTGTTGGGACCGGTCTTGTTCAACTTCTCTGTCAGTGACATGGACAGTGGGATTGAGTGCGCCCTCAGCAAGTTTGCCGATGACACCAAGCTGTGTGGTTCAGTTGATACCCTGGAGGGAAGGAATGCCATCCAGAGGGACCTTGACACACTTGTGAGGTGGGCTGATGCCAACCTCATGAGGTTTAACCATGACAAGTGCAAGGTCCTACACCTGAGTCAGAGCAATCCCAGGCACAGCTACAGGTTGCGCAAAGAAGAGATTCAGAGCAGCCCTGCAGAGAAGGACTTGGGGGTGTTGGTTGATGAGAAAATGAACATGAGGCGGCTTCAGTGTGTGCTTGCAGCCCAGAAAGCCAACCGTATCCTGGGCTGCATCAAAAGGGGCATGACCAGCAGGTCGAAGGAGGTAATCCTGCCCCTCTACTCTGCTCTTGTGAGACCTCACCTGGAGTACTGTGTGCAGTTCTTTTGTCCTCAACATAAAAAGGACATGGAACTGTTGGAACAAGTCCAGAAGAGGCCACAAGGATGATCAGGGGACTGGAGCACCTCCCGTATGAAGACAGGCTGAGAAAGTTTTGGCTGTTCAGCCTGGAGAAGAGAAGTCTGCCTGGAGACCTCATAGCAACCTTCCAGTATCTGAAGGGGGCCTATAGGGATGCTGGGGAGGGACTCTTCATTAGAGACTGTAGTGACAGGACAAAGGGTAACAGGTTCAAACCCAAACAGGGGAAGTTTAGATTGGATATAAGGAGGAAATTCTTTGCTGTTAGGATGGTGAGGCACTGGAATAGGTTGCCCAGGGAGGCTGTGCATGCTCCATCCTTGGCAGTGCTCAAGACCAGGCTGGACGAGGCCATGGGTGATATGGGTTAGTGTGAGGTGTCCCTGCCCATGGTAGGGGGTTTGGAACTCGATGATCTTAAGGTCCTTTCCAACCCTAACTATTCTATGATTAAGTTTTTATCTGTGCATGCAGTAGTGGAGTTTTACCCCATTGCTTACTGATAAAACCATGCTTACTCATCACTGAGGCATCCTAGTCTGCTTGTGACACCTTGAATAATCTTCTCTTCTTTCTCAGACAGATGCTTTTGCATCACAGCAGACAGAGCATATTCCTTCATCCAGAGCTAAAAGCAGGGGAAAAAAAGTAAAACTGTAAGACACTCTGGCTTTAGTCACATTAAGTGACAGGGGTTTATTTCATGTTATTTTGCTAAAAACAACCACCCCCCTCTTTCAAGAGACAAACTCATGCTGAATGGAAATATTTCTACTGAGAAATACTGTTTTCTCAATGATCATAGTCTTAAACACAGCTCACTAAAAGAAAGGGGGGCTTTGCACTGGTTTGGATTAACCTTGGGCTGTGTCTCCTACAGATTTTACAGTTGCAACAACAGAGGAACAAGAGAAAAAGAACAATAGGGTAAAAATATTGCTTCAACTCATCCTTATCAGCAGGTTGCAGTGTTTTTTTTTTTTCCCTAGTAGAGAATTTAGTTTTTATTTTCACTGAACAAAATAAAGGTATCATCTGCTATCACACTTTTGTGTATAGTACATGGTGCTAATAGTCAGAGATGGACACTGCGTTATTAGGTTTATGGACTGCAAGTTTACAGCTCCTTCAGGATGATATTTAGATCAAGGAATTTAATCTTTAAATATTTTGATGGATTTGCTATTAGACTGTAAATTTTTGGAGATACGGACTTACGATTTTGTTTAGTGTATTGCTAGAATTTAAGGAATAATAAGCCATAAAATGAAATTGTTCTTAAGGAACAATATTACTGTTAGATGAAGTGTGTATTTTAGGCTAGTGGCAGCTGGATAAATGCAGGTTGCCTGTAGATGTATGCAAACCCCTAAATTAAATATAACACTCAGACTCCCTGACAGCTTCAATTTATATTCTAGCCTCATTCAGAACACAAAGGAATAAATTTTATATTTTTGCAGACAGCAACGTCTCACTAATCATTATGTGTAACAAAGAATTCAATGTGTAATTGCACAATTATTAGTGTTAAAAATTAGGAGTGGTACTGGGCCTTCCTACTGGATTTGATAATCTTTTCTTTGGGAAGCAGTTACTGTGCAGGAGGCAATCTTTATCCGTGAGCATGGAATGAACTCCAGTGGGAACTGCAGAACATGAGAAACCACATCACCTTTGGCTTTAAAAGAAAAACATACTTCTTTCCTGGATAGCACCTTCTCTGTAGTATACACAGCAACACATCTAATTGACCCCTCTCTATGAAGAAAACCTTACCAGCACACATGCTCCTCAGCAGGATGCCTGAGAAGGATGGGTATGCAGTCAACACCAGGTGACAGATGGGAAGAGTGCTTCCGAGGACGAGAAGCACAGCCCAAAATCTGTACAGTGGCAGGGAGCCCATCAGGCTGCTCTTGGAAAGAGCTGCAAGATGTACCAGTGTAGCCAGACCTCAACTGATGTGAGAGTGGGTGATCATTAAAATCACAGACCACAGCCGAGCACGGTGCCTTCTCTGACTGCATGCTTCAAGTGTCAAATTAAGGCCTATCAGGTCTCCAGGTATCATAATAACAAGATGGCTAATACTTGCTTGAAGTAATACTAACTGTATCAGTATTTACCTTTAGCAACTCTGTGGATATAGCTTCCTAGTGTTTCATGCCTCACTGCATATGCATTGCAGATCTGCCACATTGCGTATTTTGATGTCTCTTCCAGTAGTTAAAAGAAGGGCTGAAAATGACCTTTTACTTTTTAGAAGTATCTTCATTTCAATGAGACTGGCTGTGGCTCAAACGTGGCTTCCCATAATTTTTTGAGGCCTGGTTATTCACTGAGAAGTTGCTCTTGAAGGGCCTGTCTGCACACTGACTGTCAAACAGCATGAGGATATAGATCACCAAGACACAGAAAACAGGAGATGATTTCTCAATTACAATTAGAATGGTAAATGTCATTGCCGCCAAGAACCCAAAATTTAGCATCTCTGCTGCTCTCAGTATATCCTATTCACAAAGGCACTCAGAGTGATAACAAAAACAGGGACTGTAGTCGTTGTTTACTCGTTTTTTTATGAAAAAATACCCTAGTTCTCTGGTGGTAACCGTAGTTTGTTTTAAAGGAAAAGAATGAGTCACCTTTTCCACTGAGCACATCTAGGGTAAGCTGTATCCAGAATTTATAAAAGGTCTCTTCACCTCCCTGAGACCAATGGAAAGCTGAGAAAACAGCAGAAAATCCTTCCAGCACACAGCTATTAACCTGAACAGTAGAAGTACATCAGCTGTGTAAGTGATAAGAGAGCAAAGAGGAAAGGAGGTGGGTTATTACACATTTAAGATGGGATGATAAATAAGGAAGATTGTGATTTGGACCAAATACTAAACCAGTGTTTTGTCTCAACAAGGCCATTAGGAAAATGATCAAGTAAGGAAGGATCATCTGGAAATAAACAGAATATTGTTTGCTTTATTCAGCAGCTCACTTGGGTGGGCTGGGAGGACTGGGTATTTTCCACCTCTGAAATACTAGAACTCTCATATATACAGGCACAAAAGCAACAGTAAAAACCTAGGAATCTTAATTTAAGGCTGCCGGTGTACGGCTGAAAACCAGCAAAACAGAGACCACTATTTCATCAAGCCAGGTGGAAAGGTCAGACTTTGTGCTGTACTATCTCTCAATGCTGGGTCAAGACACCAGATGCTTCTCCAAGCTTTAAGGTTTTTGGGAATGTCCTTTCTTTGCTCAAAGACAGGTTGTATGCAATGGAGAAAATCACACTGTTGCACAGACTCGGTGTCTGGAACAGAGCTCAGGCTTTCTGTTTCCTGCACTGAACCAGTAATACCAGTAACACCAGTAACAAATGCATGGTAAATGGGGAAGTAAAGCTTCAAGGAATATCTTGCTTCTTGAAGAGTCATTCTAATCACGATGAAAAAATTAATATAAACCAAAGAGAAAGTGATAAAATGCACACCATGTCAAAACTGGTAATCAGATGCTAGTAACGTTTCTGGATGTCAAGCAGTGATGTGGAAATGAACAGAAGTGCCCTCACCCTTTTTTTACTCTCTAAGCTTCTCAGTGCTTTGCTTCCTGACAAGTCCATTACAAGACCTTCTGGAGCACTGCTAACATGAACTATTACTCTCTATCAATAAAGGTGAGAAATATGCCTTTTATAGGTAATGAAACCCATTAAGTATTTTGAGTTAGACCTCAGATGCAACAGCAGACTAAACGCAAGGAAGATCATTCTTTTTTCTGCAGCTCTACTTGACATTTTTAACACAGATTATTCAGGAAATCGAAGGAAAGCAATTTCTGCCTAACAGCCTGTAGATGGGGTGTGATGCATGCCGAATGCCAAGCAAATACCTCACCCTCGTGCAGCAGTCTACTCCCAGTAACCACTGTCCGGGCAGAAGAGATGTCTAAAGAAATCATGAGGTAAGGACTATGTGGAAAAATGCTCAAAACTTATTTTCATTAGTCTTTTATTCCCATTTGCCTCACTTGCATCCTTGAGAGTGTAAGGCAAATTCAAATATGAAACTATTTTTTTCTTTTCAGCTGTGAAACAGATTCTGTTCCCCCAAAGGACATCATATTCCAGGTATATATAAATGCTAGGAAAAATTACCTAAAAAAAAAAGCCACTTTGAAAAGCACACATAAATACTCTGGTGAAAAGCTTTCTGGTGTTAAGACTCCCAAGTCTGTAAAGAAGATGACTATGTAATTCTTTGTATAGTACATATATTAAGAGGGAAATGAAAGACCTATCTACTGCTGGAAAATGCCTGATAAATTAAAAGGGCTGTCAATTTAAATGCTGATTTATGGATCAGCACATTCAGCACTGTACCATCTATGGGATCTCCTAAATGTCACAAGCATCTGATGTCTCTTAAGGTGGAAATCAAATGTTATTTCTGTGTCAGCTTATTGTTTAAATGTACATGCTGCTGTGTTTATACTATGAAAAGGCCAAGAAACGCATTTTACTTTTGAACGTATTATATTTCAGACTCTCATACAGGAAAATCTGCCAGCCAAACTTTGGTGGAATAGCTGTCTCCTTCCATGCTCTCTCTGAAGACGTAGCAGGCTTTTCTTCCAGTCTAGTTCAAACCACTTCCAAGAAGCCACAGGCGTCAAGTTAAAAAAGCTACTTAATCACCCACAAAGAGTATCATCATGAGGAATTACACATTTTCCCACTAAGAGAAACACTTGTCTCTTCTAGGAATTTATCGCACAGAATCACATGTCCTTAGGACAGCTCTGTCTGCTGCTCAGGAAATTATTATATTGAATAAGGCCCAACTGCAGGGCTGGTGACCCAGAGACCAGTGTGATTGCTCTGTCATTGCTAAGTGAATGCCTCTATAGCTCAGTAATTACTGTTAACAGTGCCAGCAAACCCTTTAATTTTTTTTTTCAGGATATGTGCTGTATATTATGAATGCTACAGAACACTGAAAGTGATGGAAAGTCAACTTACTAATTTAAATAACATATGCTTGGGCATGACTGGAACATCTGAATTCACACTACAATGAATCCATCATACAGTGCTGCCCAAAGAGCAACAGAGCGCTGGAGATGAACCAATCCTTTTAATCCCTTGAAATAAAAAAAAAAAACCCAGGGTATGGTTTCTTGACTCAGTGCTGTGCCCAGTGAGAGTAAAAGAGGAATGCATCAACAGCATGTTTGGAACAAAACTTCTAACTTGAGATATCCCCTTCTGTGGACAGTGTCCTAGCCATTAAACTGCATCCTCTCTGGCCCTGAACAACAGCTGAGGCTCAATGGGACAGTGGAAGGACCAGAGCAGAGGTGCCCTAACATGCACTCTGACTTCTAAGACCAACTGTAAATTGCACACCAGAACCCCCTCCTTCTTTGACTGTGATTTTTAGTGACAGCAGATACCACCATGGTGCTTTGGGCTCCATGTGCTATGACACATAGTTCATGTAACAGACCTGGCTGCTAAGGTCATTCAGATACAAGGACAGGCAATTTGTGAATCCTGGGTGAATGTGAAAACAAAAAGCAACCTAGAGGTTTAAGCTCACCAAGTCAGGTATTGAATCTAATCCTTGATAAAAAGGGGCAAAAAAAGTTGAGGTCAGACATTGCTTCTTTAATTACTGATGGTATTCAAACACTAAATGCTATCCAGCACCCCTAGAAAACACAAATGCCTGCCCTTAAGTGAAAGCATGTGAGCAGATTCAGTGGCATCAGCAGTTGATCCTAAGCACTTTTTAGTTTAGTTTGCTAGATATCCCTGTGACACAGAAACAGAAGAGGCAAGCAGAATTGCTTTGTAAAATATTTGAGATAACAGGTGAATTACAATAAAGCAAACATAAAATATTCAGGGATGTGCATGTTGCCTGACTCCAGATTAAGAAAAATAGGGAAGAAAAAAAAAAGGGAAATAGCTAGGAATTTCCAATGAGTAATTTTGCTTTTGTATTCCCATGGGTTTTCTAAAACCCCCAGCAAGCAAACCACTCTACCAGAGTTAGTAGGAAGCCCACAGTTTCCTGGAAACACCTTACATCAGTCTGTAATATTTAGGGACACAATCAGTACCTTATTAACCATGTACTGGATTGTCCAGGCACTGTGAAGAATGACAGTAGGTAAAAGCATGACTTTGCCTGTGTTAAAGAACTCTGCCAACCTTTTATTTAAGAAGCTCCATTCACTCCATACATTGCATCACACACTTAACGTTTAGGAAGGGTTACACCTTTGTGTAGAGAAGGTCTTTCTTTGATTAAGCTGTCTTAGTCTTCAAAGTAGTATTAATAGAGACCTAGCACTGCATGAATAAATTGAAGGTATATTTGAGTTCCAGCTTAATGCTGAAGATACCTGCCTCCACATTTATCATACAATAGAATTCGCTGTTGTTGAATGTACTATTGTAATAGACTAGACTAGACTTGACTAGAACATCTCAAAATAGCATTTGCTTTTGTTGCTTTTCTCCTTCAGTGTCAATGAATGCTGGGCACAAACAGAGCAGGAAAGCAAGATATGTGTTTCTTCACCTTCTCAGAGTAAAGAATAAGTTTTATATAAAGTATGTATGACATGTTTCCAATTAGTGCAGTATTAATACATGAAAATTACTAAGAAATACTTATTATTGTACAGCCTCCTTTCCTCTAAACTGTGCTTATATGTACCCTCTCCAAATAGACCAGATGAAGTTTTGAGCTGTTTCTGGAGATGATGAAGAGTTGAGAACATCATACAGAATCCTTGACAAAAAATGTTTATGTGCTGACAAAAGCATCAAACACTGTGGACAGATGTTCAGTAATTACTCTCTGACTCCTCTATGCAAGTCCACATACAGCATATATGTTCACTCCATACCGCACATTAAACTGCCCATCCCAAGTCTGGACCTGAGCTGTGTATTTATACAAAATATGTTTTACCACAGATAAATATCTTCGTATTTTTGTCTGTACCCAGTTTTTAGCCCTGGGATCCCAGAATATAGTACAGGTCTTACTTGTTTTTCTTGCAGTAGCTGTTCCTGGAAAAGTTTCCAGCGTCTCTGGCAGTAGGTCTCCCATTTTTCCAGCTGAGGGACCAAATTCTCCTGCCATTCCTCTTTCAGAAGCTCACACTCTCTTACAGAGAGGCCAGTCACAAGAGGCAGTGTCTGAAGAAACAGCTCCGTCACCAACTCCACTAAAGCATGGGAAGCTTTAGAGTACAGCTCCTAACAGAGGGACAAAAAAGGGCAGAGAGAAGTGACAAAGTGAACCCCCTGGCCCTTTGGGGCTGTTCCACTGCATGTCTTGAAGAAGGGAACCATGTCCTAGTGAAGACAGTGGGGCAGTGACTGACCCTTAGAGCTAAAATCCAAAGTTTGAGTTAAAAAGACCAGGTTTTGTAGATGGAACAACTTAAATGTTTTGGTTCAAGGCACACAATGTCATTTAAAATGCAATAGGGACATGAGCACATGAGACCTTGAATCTTAACTGCTGCTCACATGCAGCTGCACTGCAAGGAATATTTTACTGGCTATGGCAACGTGTTATAAAGACACTTATTTTGAAAGTTGCTGTGGAAACAACCAGTGTAGCACAACACATTTTCAAAGGTGCAGACATGAAATGAATGAAGGCAAGAAAGAAGGAAGAGTAAAAAGGGACAGTATGGCTTTCAGTTAGGCAAAACTGACATTATTAATGCTAATAGTTGGTGCTCCAAAATATGACACTCTTCAATGCTTGAAGGACAGAATTATTCAAATTTCTTCTGCTGTACAAGAGGTTCAAGCCAAGAAAAAAACAAACATCCTCTGGTGGTTTTATTAAAACTGGTCTCATATGAGCAGTTTTCAATCGTGGGTGATTTAGTCAGTCGTCATCCAAGCTAAGAAGTCTGTTCAGAACATATAATTTCACTGTCAAATACACAGTGATGATATGAGTTGTGTTTGCAAACTTGCTACAACTTGATATAATCCCTGAGGAGAAGGAGTGAGGGCAGGCAGCTTTCCCCAGTGGAAGAAAGAAAACAAAAACACATTGGAAAGGTCACATGGACACTGCAGTACATCAACAGTAGGAAATGCTATTTTTGTATGAGCGCCACATGATCTTATCAGTCCAAAAAGCTTTGCTGCCTACTTGGTTTTCTTTTCATTGTATATCAGTGTTAGCCCTCCTGAAAATGCTTGTATTTCTTTTTTTTTCTTAAAATTCAGCGTTCCTGTTGCAAGAACAAGTCAACGCTTCTAGCTGTTGACTTCTTTTAAACGCAGGTTTAATTCCAATCTCACTAGTGATCAAAATCTAGAACCTCTCAGAGATATTTATCTGGATGTCAAAAAACATCTGTCTGCAGCTCACAGACATGAAAAGTTGTAGTGGACTTGTTTTCTGGGGAGATACACTGGTATAATATGCTATTGTGTAAGAGCCCATTCCAACTGCTAGATGTTGTATCATAAAAAAGAAAGACCAAGCCGCTCTCTCCCCCCCCGCCCCCCCCCCCAATAAAATAAAGAAACCCAAAACAACAAAAGAAGAGGTTTAATTGCGCAGTCAAGAACTCAGCAATAATGACCAGATCTTAGGCTGTATGTGAAAACTAGTTTTGTGCCTCCATAATGATAAATGATACTGTTTCCACAGAACCTTTATCTATTTTGTGTTTAGATTTATCTATACCCATTGAATAGACAGATTTAAAAAAAAATCTTTATTTTGTATTTCTTATTTATTGTAAAATATCCAAACTCTGCACTGAATATGAAATTATTATTTTCCTCCCAGGATCCCTCTAGGATGCTAATCACCATATTAATTAGCCGTTTCACAAACAATAGCTTAGCTTAATTGCTTCCTGCAGCAACCTCTTCTTATGGATAAAATCAAGGCACGCTACTATCAAAAGTGTTCACTACACCTTCAAGATTGGGTGTCTTGATTTTCTCCACTCTCTTCCCTGTTTAAAGCACACAGGATTTTCAGAATCTGGCTCCCACTGGCTTTGTTTAATCTCAAAGTGTTCTGAATTCTTGTAAACTACACTACAGGTTTCTGAAACTGGGTACTAAGTATGAGAATTAGACAAAGACCCAACAATTGGATACCTCATTTCTGGGAACACTTCTCCAATTTCTAGCAATTGCTGGCAATCTGGACATGACAGTACCATTGGGGTAATGTTTTCTACACAGTTCCATCCTATGCTGAAGGACGGATCTCCCTTAATCCTTTATTATTACAGATACCAGTTACTGTTGCAACAAGAGGCAGGGTTTTTACTATCTTTATTTATTTACAATTATATATATATATTTATATATATACAATTTGTGTAGTTGTGGGTCTGGCTTAGCTTACCAATACTCATGCAAACCCACTAACGCACTGTTTGAATTCTCCCTTCTGCTGCTCTTTAAAAATTCACACCTCCAGATTCTGGGATTTAACACAACATCAGGATCCTTGCTACAAGAAAGACATTGAGGTGCCGGAGTGGGTCCAGAAAAGGGCAAAGAAGCTGGTGAAAAGTCTGGAGGAACAGTCTGATGAGGAACAGCTGAGGGAACTGGGGTTGTTTAGTGGAAAAGAGAAGGCTCAGGGGAGACCTTATTGCTTTCTACAACTACCTGAAAGGAGGCTAGAGCCAGGAGGTGGCTGGTCTCTTCTCCCAAGTGACAAGTGATAGGGTCTCACACTGCATCAGGCTAGGTTTAGATTGGATATCTGGAAAAATTTCTTCGCTGAGAGGATGATCAGGCACTGGAACAGGCAGCCCAGGGCAGTGGTGGAGTCACCATTCCTGGAAGTGTTCAAAACCTGTGTAGATGAGCCCCTCAGTGATAGCTTTAGTGCTGGTCTTGGTGGTCCTGAGGTAATGGTTGGACTTGATGATGTTAAAGGTCTTTTCGAACTTAGCTGAGTCTATGATTCTATGATCAAAGATCCTATTTTCTAATCTCTGTATCCTATACAACACTTAAAGAACAATCACTGTATCTCTGTAAACCATCTCTTCTCTGAGCTTTACTAGCCTTTCAGAACAAGGTAATTCTCCTGCATTTACTGGGTGTTCAGGGATATAAAAATTTGTCTTGGGTCTGAAATAGTTCAGAAGCAGTCTAGAGGAGTCTGTGGCATTTCTATTGCAATCTTAAAAGATCTCAGGCAGGGTGTTAAGGAACTCTACGCTTACACGGAGTTCCACTTATGGCAGCTAAATCACTTTGCAACGTATTTTGCTGCAGAACTGATAGCATTTCCATGGCATGCTGACAGCTTGGTATTATTTACCAGTAAGCCTTTTGCACAGAACACAGAAACCGTATTTTCTTACTTGCCTTTATGCCATTTTGTCTAAAGACCAAGTGAATAGCTCTGCTTGCACTCCCTCCAGCTTCAAATTATACTGCGTGCCCACCTTTGGCACTATCAGAGTGGAAAAATTTACCCAGGAAAAACGTAACTAGGTCTTGTTCTCACAAAATTACTCACCTACATTGCCTCATTAATGTGATGGCCAAGTTATCTTTAGATCAAAGCTGCTTAACTATTTGTTAGCAAAATACTTCATGTCCCTCTGCTGAAACTGGTGTATGAAAGGACAAAAAAGTGGGATTAAGATTTCAAGGGCAGTTTTTCACATCAGCAGTCCCATTAAAAATGAAAATGGGTGAATACATGGAGCGGAAGCAGGACTAAGCAATGGGCTCTCTACATCTTATGAATGTTGCAAACTGGCAGGGAAAGCAACAGGAAGCCTGGTCAGGTGTTTTAAGTCCCGGGAATGGTGATTTTAAACACTCTCCCTTTATGTTCTGTTAAAAAGTCTTCTCTGTGCAGGACAAATCCTCCACTTACTGGCCTCATCTATGGTCCAGCATCAAAAATAAACCACTGTCAGTGATGATTATCAAAACACTAACTTCTCAAGTGTTCAAGGAACTACTGGCTGCTGGCTTCTTTAATGTGAACACATAATCATATGGACATTAGACCTCAGGTAGTTCTTGCACCACAGACTCTAACACGACACCACGCTCGACCCAGAGGATCACAGGTCTGGTATGATGGCCACACTGTTTAACCCAGCACTTGAAAAAAAAACAGAGTGGAATGGGCTTTTACAATTTGGTAGGGGAAGTGGTAAATCTACATTTAGGAAAGATTACAGATGTGACCGAATTCTACCAAAGCAACGCAAGCTAACAGCATAGCTCAAAACTACTTCTAGTCTCAGGAACATACTTGAAATGAAACAGCAATAAAGTCTGTCTGTGAACAGGGATGGTGCACTACACATTATAAAGCTTATTTTCCACAGGCAAAGAAGAAAACCATTAAGAAACCCTGCTGCTTCCAGGATGTTATTTTTGGACTAGAACCCTTACAAAACATTTCTTACAAGCTTCCTGATACGCCATCTCTTGGTTTTAGAACTTTTATTTAACGAAATTTATTCAAATTGATTCCATTAATAGAATAGCTGATTGCAGTGTTGCATGAACCTGCTTGTAGTACCTGGCAGTCAATCTCAAAGCTTTTCAAAAAATCTCCAGAGGAATTCATCAAGCATAAAGAAATATGACGGGGTATACGCAGAAATAAAATGGGCTTAGATTAAAATGCTGAGTGCATCTGAATTTCAAACAAGGCAATAGATACATAATTTTGTCAAAAACCAGGGGAAATACACAGCTTATCTGATTTCACTACAAAACCAAAGAACAAGATTAATGCTCTCCCTCAAACCCAAATGATTAAAATGTTCTTACACGCAGATGAGATTACAGTGAATAGTAAAATCGTGATAGCTATTTGTTAACTTGTCATACATTAGTATTTCATTAAAATATTTAAGATTTCTGCTTAAAGCTACAGAACACTCTTGCCTGTACCTCCAGAAGCTCAGCGGGCTAGGACACTTGTTTAGGAAGCAAGAGATTCATCTCCCAACCCATATTGTATCTTATTATGAACAGAGATTCAATACTCGGATCATACATCCCATAAATACTCCAAATATTCTTGGATGCCACTGGTCACTGGAAGATACTTCACATTATAAACTCACATGAAATAAAGCTGATTGCATGTACTTCTTCCTCTCTTCCATGTGAAGAATTATGGAATGCTAACTGGAAATGAAAACAGGAGACTACTTTTAAGAATCCTAGCACCAGTAAGATACAATGACATCGAAGTAATCCATAGGACAAAC